GCTCTGGAACCATAAAGCGTATCGAATGAGAGCGAGAGAGAAAGATGGGGGCAGATCGCTGGTGCAGAAGTGATTTATACCAGCTGTCTGGCTATAAACAAGGAGCAGGAGGGCAAAATTGCCCATATTCCTGCCAATAGTCACTTCTTGAATTTCAACAAAACATTTTTCCACTGTTGTATTTTAAACCCCCCTCTCATGCTGGAGAAATGGTTAGAAGATGAATGGATGGACATGAATCAAACCTCATTTATTACAGCTACATGTGTGAGAATATGGAGCATCTTTTTATCTTTTGAGCCCTTGGAATCCACAGCCATCCGGTTGTGTCAGCAGTCAAGCATTTGCAGGCGTGTTGGTTACCATGGCTACCAGGTTGCATTCATCCATCATCCATGGTTGCTTATCAGTTACGGGGTCATGGTGAGCCAGCATCCTACCATATGCCACATGGCAGGGAACACACACACTGTGGGTAATGTAGAAATGCCAGCTTGTCTACTGCATATATTTAGGAGGAACTTCAAGTACTTGAAGGAAAGCTATGCAGACATGGGAAAACATGCAAACTCTACGCACGCGGAGCAAACCTGGGGGTGGGACTTAAAACTCCAGCCCTGAGAGTGAGGTATTAAAGAAGCTGTGTGACTCTGTGGGTTAGAATGCTGGAAGGTCACTGGTTCAAATCCCATGGTAGGCAGAGTGATTTCACTGTTGTGCCCTGGAGTCAGGCTTCTAACCTGAACTGCTCCAGTGACTGGCTAACTCTGCTTTCTGAACTGTATGTTGCTTTGGATAGATGCTTCTAAGCAAATACAGAACGTCCTCAGAACACCTTCATAATGCTTTCATGGAACATTCATAAGCATTAAGTATCTATGCTTTAACATCCCAACATACTTTAATGCCTTTCGTTTGCAGTAATAACATATATCTCTGCCGAGCTTGCTCTCACCTACATGTGAGTCTATGTGTCATGGAAAGCAAGATGGGGTAGGCAAAAAGAGAATTTCCCAGTGGGGATTGATAAAGTATCATCATTTCATAAAATCTGGCTGCAGCCTGATTTTTGGCGGCTCGCCCTATCCCATTAGTGATTCACACGTGACTGAGAACGACAAGCAGATCCTGAAATTCCATCTGCACCACCAAACATTATCCACGGATACTGGAGGAAAACTGCAGCCAGATATCACATAGCAGGACAGGCTTTCCGCACCCCCCATGGCAGACCCTTCCTCCCCCACCCTCGTCATTACTGTCCCTGCAATCAATAGCGTTGAGAGATTTTAAATTTCCCTCGAAGCTGGCAGTTCAATACTTCTCTGATTTAAAATTCTGCAAGCATCCATGCTGTCGTCTTTGAAGATACGCTGGTTTTAATTCCATCAGTCTTCGAGGAAACAGGAAATCTGTCTGCAGGACAGACTATATCTGACTTTTGGCGGTTGTGCTCCAAATAGAGACAAACGATAAGCCCATTATCTCAGCATCCGAGCACTGTGGCGAGCCGTAGCCATGGTAATTTAAGACCACGGGAGATTCTCAGAGGCACCAGGAATGGAGCGGCAACCAAAAAGCGATGAGGCTGCAGTTTGATACGGTCCTAAGGCTCCAAGGAGACCAGGTCTTCTGGCTGGGAAGTGCGACTATCAGGGATTAATGGACAGCCTCCCCCCCAAAAATAAATAAATAAATAAATTAAGGCAGGGAAATCAGGTAGGAGAATCCTAGAAACCTCACATGCAACCAGGGTGAGATCAGCTGGCGTTTTTGGGGTTTGTTAATATGCTCTGGGAAGGGATTTGTTTTCTGTTCAAAATGCCTGGCTCATTTGTACAGAGAGGAAGCAATTAAATCGTAAAAGCACACATGCTATGGAAAGCTTCAGTCCCATGTCAGCTAATGTTCACATCACCCTAGTGGCCTGCTAAGGTCCCGAGTGAGAGGAAGGCTGGGGAGTGGCGGTCTGAAAGGGCGGGGGTGAACTCCTGCAGGAGCCGAGCTGGGCCCCCAGCAAATGTGAGGGGGCCTGAGGAGTGTTTCCCGCGCAGGTCCCTCACACTCCACCCTGGGAAACTCCTCGCACTTCCATCTGGCGCCGCAAGTTCCTCATGGAAGATCGGGAGCACCTTGTCATTGTTGCGCTCGGTGTGCAGATATGCAGGCGAGAAAACGTGAAGGAGGGGCTCGCTGGGGGCAGCTAACCGCATTGAATATGGGATCATAAACAGAGACAAAGAGGATGCAGAGGAGGATCAAAACACAGGCCCCAGGCACTTTTTCATTCATAAAAATATTCCTGCATTGGTGGTATAGAACCTGTGCTTCTGATCAGAAGGTTGTGGGTTCGAATTCTGCAACTTCGAGATAAATTATTGGTTTTGATGCATGGAACTAGATCATACAGGATCTGTGTGTGCCGTCCTTGACGATTATCTATGTGGAGACCTGTGTGTATGTTTCCTATTTCACAACACAGATTTTCATTGATGTACTATATGGGAACTATACTAGTACTATATTAGTTTATTTTCTTTTGAAGTTAGGGTTTGTTTGCAATGAATAACTATAAATATATTTGGTTTAAGTGATTCTGGCTAGGAGAAGAGCAGAGTACGGGGAAAAGAGTTTATTAAAGTCCAGGATCTGACATTCTGACACAATGTTATTATGGGATGTGATGTCTGGCAGCTCTGGGAACAGAACTGTGTGACAGATTATTTCCGTGGGGAGGGGGGGGGTGAAGCACTTTAGGTTTAAGAGTGAAAATTTTGCTGTTTTGGCAGGAAGAAAAGAATTCACAGTACAGTATAATGCAGCACATGGGAACGATTTGCTGGGCAGAAAACACATCAGGCTCGGGCCAGGCCTAGAGCCCAGAAACACACCGGAAGAGGGAGCAGGGGGCAGTCCGTGCAAATACGGAGGGTCAGGTGACTGTCGGTGGCCCCACCCCTCGGTTTTTCACAGCCATCATAACATCTTTGCATGTGATACAATCCTCAGCCATAAACAGGATCATTTTGGCAGAGAAAAAATGTACTTGGGCTGGGAAACCAGTACTATTCACCTTTTCTAAATGCAACAGACGCCCAGAAAGCCGTCCTAGTGCGACAGTGTCTGGCTGAGGGCTTTTTTTATGACCTTTTCAGCCACATCCCACCGACCTGCCCGCCGTTCCCAGACCAGACGTTTCTGGACAGAGTGCGGTTCCTTACTCAGCATGACTGTGGCTGGATACTGGGAGACAGGGCACCCCCCTGCTTATACTGTCGGGGGGAGGAACCATGTCCAGCATCTGCACCAGCATCAGCTGCACCAGTCTGATGGCTAAATGAGCCCAGCTCTCCTGGGAGCAATAATTACTATATGATTAAGGCACAAGCTCACAATGGGTCTGATCTTCATATTAGGTATTAATATGAAATGTGTATTAAATCATTTACTAAAGCAGATTTTAATAATACTGTTAGAAAATTACTTTTTAAATTCATTTTATGTGTATGCCTAAGATTAAACACCTGCTTAAAACCCAAAAATGTGCAGGGCTCTGCCCCCCCAGGACTGGAGTTTGACACCCCTGTTCTATACCATCTGTCAGGTTTAACTAAGGTGCCCATGGAATGATATGGAATGGGTATGGGGGGCGGGTATTTATGGGGGGTGGGTATGGGGGGCGGGTATGGGGGGCGGGGCGGGTATGGGGATCGGGTATGGGGGGCGGGTATGGGGGGCGGCTCATAGAGCTGTCTCACCTCTCCCCCCAGTCCTCTCTCACCTGGACCTCAACTTGTTGGCCAACACATGGAAACACGGTCGAGTCGTGTGTAGCTCAGCTGGTTAGGACTCTGTACCCATGATCAGAAGGTCGCCGATTTAAATCCCTGTTGGATTCCTGAGCTCCTTAACTGCCAACTGCTCCAGGGACTGGCTGCTCCTGCCTTTTCAGGTGTACGTGGCTTTGGAACGAAGCATCAGCTAAATTTGCACATATATACCGGATACACTGTACATTTTGCTACATATTACGCCTTCCCCAGTATTTCATTTGCCCTGCCTGGGGGGCTGCTATCCCACTCTCGTTGTGCTGTTGTGTACGATGACAATAGAGAATTGATTTTGGAATCTCGAATAAGTAAATAAATGCAAATGCAAACCCACTTCCTTGCAATGATGCCAGCTCATGTCTTTCATGGGGCTTTCCCATACAAACACAATGACGCTAAAGTCACATATTTCAGGGCACGATGTCAATGGGCAGCAGAATTCTTGTAATCTCTCCTTTTCTGCTCCTCGTGGCCCGTTGTGTATCACATGCAGCATTTATAGCAGGTGCAGCGATAGCAGAAGCTTTGTCACGCCTGGGGCAGTGACAACTCGTGGCTGTCTCGCACTGGGTTCAAAGCTTTTCTTTTTCACCCCCCCCCCATTTCCACCCTTTCTCTCTTCCTGTGCGTCTCTGCTGCTCCCTCCCGCCCCCCACCCCCGCCGTTCCAGCGGCCACCAGCTGGAATGTGGCTCAACGGTGGGTTTTTAAATAGCCCATGTAATGGCCTGGCCCAAATAAGGCAGGGGCCAGTGCCCGGCCCCAAAATATCAACCGCCATGGCACTGAAAATAAAACTTTTTCCGCGTCTGCCAAAAATAATGAGGGGCAGGAAGAGGACGACGAGCATCAGGGCCGCCACCCTATCAGAGCAGAGGCCGCACCGTCAGGTGTGATATTTAACACGCTGTCAGCACGTAGAAGCAGAGATTGATCCTTTTCAAATACCTTTGGTGCCTAATGCTCAGACCCGGGGTTAAATTATAAATAATATTTTGCACCTTCAGGTGCAAGTCAATCAGAACACAACTGCAACATGATTGTGGTGTCGGACCCCCCCACTAATTTCAGATGCACCCTTAGTGATTTTGTTCTGGACCCGGCACTGCTAATCCTAAGGCTACCTGCAGATTTGCAACCGTCATATGTAGCGTGTTTTTGTCCCTTGCAGGATCCTAGTGGGGGCGCCGCGGGCGCGGGGTCTGCACTCCCTGAGGAACAGCCGGCCCGGCGCTCTATACCGCTGCCCGATCACGGCCGAAGAGTATGACTGCAAGCGCGTGGACATTGATGGGGACGGTGAGCGGTTTAGGGGTGGGGTAGAGCCAAGGGGCGCGGGCAAACATTGGAAACGAACATTCAGACTGCATGTTCCTGCAGTCTGACCTTCCCATTTTCACTAGCCCACTTTCTCTGCTTACCTGTTGTTTAACGTGCAACTGTGGTCATGGTTCCCGCAGTGAGGCCTGACCGCGAGAGCAAGGACAACCAGTGGCTGGGTGTGACTGTCAAGAGCCAGGGGATTGGAGGGAAAGTGGTGGTGAGTACGTCCAGCAACCGACCTCCCTGTATAAGGCACTGAAACATGTGGAGAGAAAGTTGCTCCCATAATTTTTATCCATTTGTGCAGCAGGATAATTTTACTGGAGCAATTCAGGTTAAATACGTTGCTGGAGGGCTGCACCTGGGTCGTGAACCAACAACCTTCTGGCCAAAAATCCATGGTCTGGTTTCATGGTGCCCTAGACATTTGTAGCATTATCTCAACATGTCAGCAAAGGGTTTGCTTCAGTGTTGGCCACTTTAAGATGGTGAATTTCATTTGGTGGGCTGATCCACCGTCCGCCCTTCCCCAGACGTGTGCCCACCTGTATGAACTCCGTCAGCGAGTCAACCAGCCCTCGGAGACTCGCGACCCCATTGGGCGCTGCTACATGCTGAGCGAGGACCTGACGGAACGGGACGACCTGGACGGGGGCGAGTGGAAGTTCTGCGAGGGCCGGCCGCAAAGCCATGAGCAATTTGGGTTCTGTCAACAAGGCCTGGCTGCCAGCTTCACCCCTGACAAGAACTTCATCCTCTTTGGGGCCCCGGGCACGTACAACTGGAAAGGTGAGATTAAATCCCTCAAACTCCAGCCTCGTCTTATTTATATGACTTCCTTTTTCTTTAATTAACACGGGCTCACCAGGATTCCCCCATATTCAGCCTATTTATAAAACATACTGTAAATTGAGCTGTTTTATGGATGCGGCTTTCTTGGTGTATTATTTTGCTGTGTTGTGACATCTCAATAAACCTTTTGCTTATTGGACACTGCAGAAATATTGCTAATGTGATTTAACTCTCAGTAATAGAAATAGACATAAAGGTTATTAAAAAGATTACATTAATTGCTGCACCATAAACTGATTTAAATTAAGTGTGATTAAAATGTAAAATCTTTTTATGCAAACAGCAAGGAAGCAGTGAGACCCTTCATTTCACAAATGGTGTTTTGTTTTTCAACGGATATTAAAAAAATAATATAATAAAAACTCAATTATTGGATCAATATGTAGATATGCTGTTTAGTTCAGGAATCTTTGGAATGTAAGTGCATTTTTCAGTGTGTTTGTCTGAGTGCCATGTGAACATATGTGGTGGCGATATGAGTTTAGCCAGCTCTCATAATGTCCCCATAAAGCGGACACTGTGAGAATGCCCATACAAATAAGACTGTTTTTGTCTGCTTGTTAAAAACGTAAAAAGCCAAAAACCTGTTATGATCTACCTCGATTTCATTATATAAAGGGCTTCACCGATTGCATTAAAACGAGAGTCATCTAGAACCTTCCACAAAGACAGAAATGTGAATGCATGCAGATGCGTGTGTATGTGTGGGCGTGTGTGTGCATGCGCCTTAACCTTCCACGTTCCAGGAGAGCTGCGAGTCCAGCTCGTCAATCAGACCTTGCTCGACCTGGGTTTCTACGACGACGGCCCCTATGAGGTAGCAGACGAGAAGCAGCAGGATGCTCGGCTGATCCCGGTTCCCTACCACAGTTACCTGGGTACGGCCCGGCCTGTTCCCTGCTGCCGGGGCATCAGAGACAGGCTCGGTGCAAGCATGAGAAGGCCTACTGCCTGGCCCAGCTCCGTCACCATTCCACACCTCTACTTTCATTCCCAAATATACGGATTACCCAGCATCACCAGGCTGACATTTCTATAGCCACGTCAAACATTTGGAACATGTAAATTTTTGATACCTGTTAGTAAAACGATCACAATAGAAAAACTATTAAAAAAAAGTCCTAAAAATCATAAAGTCCTCTTATCGGAGTTTATCCGTATCTGTGGCAGTCTGACAGTGACCTGGGCTCCGTCCGTTTGCCTTCTCTTCCTTCTACAGCTCACCTGTGGGTAGCGTCACCGACCACCACGATGCACTAAATGCAAAGCAGGCTTCTCACCTGCACCTCCCTCTCTCTCCCCCCCTCACCACCCTCCCCCACATCTTCCCTCTCTCCCCGTGGGGCCCCAGGACTCTTGTTTATGGCTAGTCCCGTGGAGGATGCCTTGGTGTACAAAACCCTGGAGCCTTTCTACCGACCCTCCGTCTATGAGGACGTAGCTCAGAATAGCTACTTAGGTTTGTAGGCATAAGAAGCCGTTGTCTGACTGGGATTTTGTCTGTAGCAGTAGACTATCCCCCCCCCCCCACACCTCAAACTCCCCCCCGCGCTAAATGTAGTTGTTGTCTAGAAAGTGTGTGGCAGTCTTATAGAGCTGTAGTAGGACTTCAGTACAACTTCTCCTCAACAGAGAGCAGCCGTTGCAAATTCACAGTAAGGCTTTTATGTCCTTAACTTGTCATTATATCCGGACATACTCTGGACATTATTTCAGCATTTCCTAGTTCTTTTAAAGGTTAATAGCCAAAATAAACGCTGATCCACTTCAAAGTCTGTAGACATATTTGCCTGTGAATGCTGACATGGTGTCCAGTCAGTGAACGAGGCGCTGGTAGGATGGGTTCTCTCTGCTTGGGGAGGAGTAGGGAGTCTGTGTAGATCACAGCAGAATAGAGCTGCAGCCTGTGTTGGTGTTGGGTCCTGTCACACCTCCGTCTGCATGCTTGTGTCTGGGTCCATGTGCAGTCATGCAGGGTCTGTCAGAGGTGAATAGTCACTACGGATGGCCAGCAGAATTGGCTGCAAAGTCAAGAGCACTGAAAGTGTTTTCATAACCAGGTTCCGTGGATAGTGGAATTAACTATTAGTTAGAGATAAAGATTTCGAACCTTAAGGTTTTATGTTTGAATCCAATTTGAGCCCCTGCTGTAGTACCCACAAAAAGGGCACTGAAAAGTGCCCAACAGTAAAACCCTAAGTCAGCCTGGACAATTTATTATTATAAAAGCACGTTTCCGACCATGATTGCCCAAAAGAGTTCAGCGACAGTGGCACTGGCAGGCATATCACAGTTTAGGGCAACGGTTGTAAGGAATTGGAAATAAAAGCTAGAAAACAAACTTCCAGTTTGATATAGGGTCAGCTGGCAGTCCAGCCCCTCTGGGCACGCTGAGGATAAAGAGGCCAGGAGGCAGTGTGAGTTTTTGTGTAGCCCTCTCTTCTGTCACGCCATCTGTGGGTCAGCTCTCCCTCCCGCCTTCTGCAGAACAGCCGGTATTTCCAGCTGGTAGCTCTCCCTCCCTCTGCTGGGCCACATCCCCGGCAGCCTCCACAGGCACTCAGTTAATGAAAGAAAACGTTGTGTTTAATATAATAAATAGTTGGAAGATGGATGGATGTAAGGAAGGATAGTTTATATCCAATATATGTAATACGGGAAAAGCTTGGTCTTCCAGTAAATGATGCTGATGTGGACATCTGAGAATAAGTTAAACGGGTGATTACGTAAATAGATCGTTAAGATACCACCCATTTTAAATATTGCTAAGACAGCGACGTTTAGTATTTATTGCGTTGAATGGGATTAAAAACCAAACCTCTCCGTGCCGTTTTATACTTTTCTTTCGTAATTTTATTAAGTCTTAATTTAGTAGGCTTTAGTAGTCTTAATTTAAACAAGTTATAAGGGTGGTATTAGGTTTTTCTTTTAAGGACTTCTGGGTCTATCCAGAGCATTCATCCCGTCACGCGAGTAAGTCGCGTTTTTACTAGGCTCACGATAATGTGCCCTACACCTGCAATCCTGGAACTGCTAAGTACTCGTTTGTCTGTCTGTCTGTCAGCCTAATGTCTTCTGCATGCCTGCCGCCCCTAAAATGTCATCAGCCCCGCCCCCCCTCCCTATTTACAAAACATTATCCAATACTATACCTGTTCGTCCTTCTGTTGACTGCTGTGGTTCTTTTTAAACATATTGATGACCTGTCGCCACGGCTCACCCACCGCATGCTTTCAGGCTCACACGGCCACACGCTCCATCTGCATCACGCACTAATCACGCAGGGGACGCGCGAGTTATAACATCGAGTCACACGATCTCTTACAGCAGCATTTACTGCCACCTAGCGTCCGATATATCATCTGCAAAGACAATGTAAATGGTCCGCACAAAAACTTCTCGATGTCGTTCTTAGCGATTTAGCCAATTTAACTACAAAAACAAACCTCACCGTGAACAAATGAAACGGCCGCACGGTCTTTCACAAATTATTTGAAACCATTGCAATTTTATTTTTCACATTCAGAGATAAACAGTTTTCTGCTCTATAAAGTATAATTGATTCCTTATTGCCAGGTGACACGAAAATTCGCATAAAAGTGCATCCAGCAGGAAGGTGAGACAAGTGATGTTTTATTGAAGTTATTGACTTTTATAGGCAATTACATTAGTATTTCATTAGACAAACAACATGGCTGTTACAGCCATGAATGCGTATCCCTACTACTGGGACTTTGGGAAGTAGAAGAATGACACAGGAAATAATTTGTCACATGATGCCATTGATTGTCCAATCAGAGTTTGAAGCACTCTGCATAATGCACATTACTCTGATGAAAAACAGATTAATGATCTGAGAAAATGCATCTTACACATTTTCTTCTTCAGATACACATTAAAATTCCATGAGAGTCAGAAACACACAACAGCAGCGACAGTAATAGCTTGCCATTGGCTGATGGCTCATAGTCAGTCTGTCAGTGGTAACCTGTTTTTTCCCGGGGTGTTGGTGCAGGGTTTTCTGTGGATTCTGCAAAGGGTCTAATGGCCCGGGAGGACCTGACCTTTGTGGCTGGAGCGCCTCGTGCCAACCACACGGGCGCTGTGGTCCTGCTCCGAAAGGACAACGTGTACCGGCTGGTGCCCCAGCACATCTTATGGGGAGAGGAGCTGGCCTCCTCCTTCGGATACTCCGTCGCCACAGCTGACCTCAACAGTGATGGGTGAGGGGGCATGACTGAACTAAATAACCGGCATAACTAAGCATGAGGGGACGACAACAGAGGTGGGATTGGTGGAACCAGACGGATACTCTGAGAGATTCAGGGGGCCCAGCACTTTACAGGGGACCTTGAATACATCAAATTATATAATGTAAGCGGAGCGGGGGCTCCAAGGTGACAATTTATCGGGGGGGAATAATGTCCCAGTTTCCTGGGTGGAGCAATGTTTTTCCTTGAACACCCTTGGTATCTTTTTCCCATACTTGCAAGTGAGGACTTTCTGTGCTCTTTTGAGCTTCCTCCGGATACTTCGGTCTCCTCCTACGAAACAAGGACATTCCATTCAGTAGTGTTGGTGACTCTAAAGTCCCTTATGCATGCTGGGTAGGGCCATGGTATTGTCTAGGAGGTACCTGGCCTTCTGCTTTCTAGGCTAAACTAGAGCCAACAAATGAGCAACAGAAGAGATCAATGAGAGTTACTACATGTTTTGACGCCACAGCAGTAGTCTTCTCGGATTTCCTATGGTCTGCTGTCAAGTGTGGTCCGTGGAGACATCGTTGGCAGTAATGCGGTGCCTTTGCCGATGTAACAGGTCATAAGATAAATGCCACTTGCATGTTGTATCCGCTTGGCACACCTTAGACTGGGATTATACCTTGGACTCTAGGTTCAAACTTTCCAAAATAGGATTAATCTTTGCAGATATTCTTGTTGTTTGTTTGAAAAGGAACCAGAAGGTTTGCTGTGCATTTATGTTTAAGTAATGTTCTGTCACCTGCCCTCTCCCTTTTTCTGACAGCTGGACAGATATCATAGTTGGGGCTCCCAACTATTTTGACCGCAAGGCGGAGATAGGCGGGGCTGTGTACGTGTACCTCAACCCGGCGGGCCATTGGCACGAAGCCCGTCCCATCCGGCTCAATGGCACCCATGACTCCATGTTCGGCCTGACTGTTAGTGGTGTGGGGGACCTGGATCAGGATGGCTATGGGGGTGAGTCTGGGGCTCCATCACCCTGGTGTCTTAGCAGCGGCCTTACTGAGTCTAAGATGCAGTTCAGTGGAGAATAGGGGTTCTGTCGTTTGATATTACACACTTACATGAGGTCACCATTCACTCAGTTCCACCTACAGTCCTCTAGACAATGAACCAACACTAGATGGTGCTACAGATGTTAGAGAGAAAGAAAACCAGCCGTGTAACCTATCCTACAGAATTTCCATTGTCCAGGTCTCAGACAGCTAATGTTATACAGTGAATATTAAGCCCAGGATCCTATTATAGGGGAGTTCTTCTTTTTGCTGAAGGCTCTAAATGAAGCCTGACAGAGAATACAATAGACAGAGAATGACAGAGAAAATGAAATAGAAATAATCAGGTTGTCCTGGATCATACCGATGTACAGATTTCTTGTCTTAATTATGTAAATAGTTATGGAAATCATTGTAGTAATCTCTCAAAGATAATGCAATCATATTGTATAATGCGTGGATGCATTGCACATTGGCTGTACTGGGTTTGGTCAAGTTCTAGTCAAAACCCGTGACTGCGAGTATTGGCTATTTATCATCCCTTTGTGGTTCTCCTCAGACTTTGCAGTTGGAGCTCCGTTCGATGGTGATGGTAAAGTCTATATTTACCGCGGTTCTTCCTCTGGCCTTGACACGAAGCCTTCCCAGGTAAGACGCCGATGCTCAAACTGTGCAGACTCGTGCAACTGAACTGTAGTTAGCATATACTTACGAATATATATTCACTTCCATGTACCCAGGTGCTGGATGGAGTTGACGTAGGGGTGAAACATTTTGGCTATTCTCTTTCTGGAGGCCTGGACATTGATGATAATTCTTACCCTGACCTTGCAGTGGGATCTCTCAATGATCAAGTCATTTTGTACAGGTCAGTGGCAAGAAGAACAGGGATTTCTTAGTGTGCATCGGAACATCCTGGCTGCATGGTTAAGGATTTGCCCATGCTCCCTACAGGTCCCGCTCCGTCATCCACGTCAGACGGGACGTCTCGATCAGCCCCCAAAATGTTGACCTGGAGAATCAGAACTGCAAAGGCCGTCATGGGGTGTGGTGAGTTAAAAACTGGGATGCAGTCTAAGGGTTGGTTTTTACTTCACACAGACATGGCAGCAAGCGTGGGGATTGCAATGTAATTTTCGTCATAGGGGCCGGCTTTGGACGCCACATATGAGTGATCCATGCGAGGATTATTATACAATTATTATAAGACAAAGGGTCCGCTGAGGCTCCGCTCAGTGACACAAGCTAACCTCGACTATTCATTGGCCTGGGGAAAATACCGGCATTTATATGATTCCTCGCTACAGGATTATAAAGATTCCCAGATGGCTACAAACTAACATGAAATGCATTTATACGGCAAAGCCCCGTGTATGTCTTGGCCTCACTGTTATTTTCATTTTGATTTTTTAATTCAGTTTTTATATTACTGTTTGTTTTCATTTTAAATTTGGTTTAGTTTTAGTTTTCGATGTGGTTTCATTAGTTTTTATTTTAAAGATGTAAATCTATTTAATTGTTATATATTTTGCTTTAGGTTTTAGTAATTTTATTTCTAGGGATAGACGGAATGTTGTAGGCCTTTGTTGGCTTTTACAAAGTTTTGTAATGTGGAGCCATTGGCTGTTTCCATGGGTCAATTGCATGGCAGGAGAGGAACAAAGATTTTTATTTTATTTTTGTACTGTATTTTATTTCAGTTTATAAAAATGTTTTTGAAAGCAATAAAAACCCTGTCTTATATACTGTAAGTATATAGTGCACAGGTAGAACATAAGAACATAAGAACAAACAAGAGGAGGCCCTTCGGCCCATCAAGTTTGCTTGGAGAGAATTCAGCTAATAGCTCAGAGTTGTTAAAATCTTATAAGGTTCTGATTTAAAGGAACCCAAGGTTATAGTTTGCACTACACCAACAGGAAGACTATTCCATACTCTAACTACACGCTGTGTAAAGAAATGCTTTCTCAAATCAAGTTTAAAATGTTCTATTGCTAATTTCCACCTATGGCCATGTGTTCTTGTATTTGAAGTAATATTGAAGTAATTATTTGGTTGAACAGCATCCAGACCTGTTAGAATCTTATATACCTGGATCATGTCACTCCATAGTCTTCTTTGCTCAAGGCTGAACAGATTCAGTTCCGCTAACCTCTCCTCGTAAGACATTCCTCTAAGACCAGGAATCATTCTTGTAGCCCTACATTGAACCTTTTCTAACGCAGCAATGTTTTTTAAGGTAAGGTGACCCAACCTTCACACAATATTAGTTTTAATAAAGTTCTTATTTATTTTTATAACATCCATTCCGTACATCATAAACGTGATTTTAAAAAGCAGCTTTGCTCTACAGTGCCACCCCTGGCCTGGTGTCATAGTGTCTGGCACGTTGACGCTAAAAGTAAAGAACATTCAGGATGGCGGACAGTCTGGCACTGCGACAGATCCGCTTTCGCGTGAAGTAAAAACTGGCCTTAAGCCGAAAGATTTCTGTAGCTTAATGCCAAGATTTACGTACTGAAACTTCCATCCCTAGAGTCTTCCGTAGGAAGGATGCTAAATGCTTTAATCTTCTTTCCTTTTCCCTAGCGTTGAGGTGAAGGCCTGCTTCATCTACACTGCCCACCCATCATCGTATTCTCCGCACATCAGTGAGTGCCTGGGCTACATCATCTCCTCTTCGCCGTTCCTTCCCAAAACCCTTGCAATTCAGTCTACATGTGTCACTCGCCAAGCCAACTCTCTTGGTTCCCCATGAAATATATACCTTGGGAAGGAAGGGCTGATAAAGTTTCTGCAGAAGAGTTAAGCCTAACATTTCACTAATTAAATCCTTGTATCACCACATTCCCAAGCCTAACGGTATATCTGTTGATGTCAGTTGTGGAATAATTATACCTTAGTGTCTTGCATTATAGATTAAATCCACCTTGTTTTTACTTCACTTTGCATGCACTTCACCTGCTGCTATCCTCTCTGCCACGCCGACCTCCGCAACAGCCCTGAGAGTTCAGTTTGAGGCGGACATCGAACGCCGGAAGCTGAACCTGCCGCACCGCGTCAACTTCCTGGGCCACGCAAAATCTGAGCAGGAGTTCCTGCACTCTGAAGACGTGGAGCTTCGCGGTCAGGGTCGTCCGGCGTGCATCGCTGCCACCTTTCAGTTACAGGTAGGGAGCTGTTGGCTCAGCCCTATATAAGCCAGAATGTGCAAATGATTCCTGTTTGGCTATGGATGATTTGATGGTCTAATGCCACATACATTTTATAGACAGAGAATTTTGCATAGGTAGCTAAGGTGTAATTTAATAATTGAATTTGGCGCCTCCTTGTGGTAGAACAATACTGGTATCATTTCACAAATGCATAGCAGGACCCATCAGCCAGTGTTTAATTACTAACTATGAAAACCAGAAAACTTGCAGGAATAGAACAACAACTAACATAAGTCATTATCTAGCATAAAATCTGTCCTTCCTTATTGTTGTTTCTCTAGGAGAATATTAGAGACAAGCTGCGTCCCATCTCCCTGGCGATCACACACAGCATCAAGCCCCCCCGTCACCCCAGCCATTCCGCTTCCAAACACCTGGGATCTCTATTTCCTGTGCTGAGCCCGTCCATCTCCCCCACCCTGTACACTGAGGTCAGTGATGGTAACGGCTAATGGGTTTTTAGCCGTCTGGCAAGAATGAAACACCTTTCAGAGGTGCCCCTTGTGGTCTACAGGTCGACTTCTTGCGGGAGGGATGTGGAGATGACCGAATTTGTCAGAGCAACTTGCAGCTGAGCTATCGTTTTGGCACTCCACCTGTGAACTCTGGCCTTTTCACCCCTTTGCCCTTGTGAGTTGAAGATAGCACCTCTGTTGTGTTGCGTTTACACCCCGGGACATTCTAGAGACCACAACTCTGACACACCTCTCTACGTTTTCCGCTGTGTTATAAAACGCATGTTTTCTATTTAATTTCTGTGGTTACAGGGATGAGGATGCAATGCCGGTCTTCTCTCTGTCCGACCAGCGGTCCATCGCCTTGGAGATCTCCGTCACCAACATGCCCTCCGACCCCCGGCGACCTGAGGAGGATGGAGATGATGCTCATGCTGCCCAGCTGCTGGTGACCCTCCCCGACACGCTGTCCTACTTCGGCTTCAGAGGCCAGCAGGTACAGACGTGTAAACAAGGGGCGCAGGTGTAACCACACAACAATAAGCAGTGTGGACCGACACACACATCTTTCACAATTTACCATTTCCATGGCTACCTCCAGTGTTTCTGGCCTTCTCTATTGCATATAGAGTGTATAGCTTCTGAATACCAGATCAATTTGTACATTTTTATATGTTTTTCTGGGGCATCTGCTTTTTAACAGTGAAACATCTTAAATTAACACCAGTTCAGTTTTATTCCTTTGGCATCTGCCTGATTTTGTCATTTCAGTCACACGGTGCTCTGGCACTTAATATTGCACTGTTCTCATTACACGCAACACCAACTGCAGTGTTTAAGCTCACGTTTTGCTGATCGTGTTTCGGCCAGTCACAGGTGGTCTGCCAAACCAATCAGAATGGCTCTCAGGTGGAATGTGAGCTGGGAAATCCACTGAAGAGAGATGCCAAGGTAACGGAAGCACTTGTCATTTTGTGTAACGTCAAACTGGAGTTTGGGTGAATGTCAAAACAGTCAGAAAGGGAGCCCATGGTTCACTCAAACCCACCATTGACAAAGTATTTGTAATTTTAAAGAATATCTTTCTCTAAATAACACATAATATATGAAAAACAACTTCAATTACAGTCTCTGATTCTCCAATTTTTCATGATGTATCACTTTAAAATGCAGCTTTGATTTGCATTATTATCTCCTGAAATATGCTTTCCTCTCTTACATTTATATTTCTTTTCCCAAGCTAAAATTTTACATAATATTAAGCACATCTGGAATCACCATAGAAACCACAGACCTGTCTGTTGATCTCTTACTAGCAACGTAAGTCCTGCATTTTTATTAGTCTGTTATTAAATCGGAAAACTCATTATTTTGAATTCAGCTGCTGGCATCCTAACTATGTGGTTTGTTTATCTGAAGATGTGGTACAAATGGTCTGTATGTTTGTTTGTGTGTGTGTGTCTCTCTTACTGTGTCTGCATTTCCAGAATAAGTGAGCAGCCTGATCTGGCCTTAGTCACAGCTCGTGCAAAAGTAGTCATTGAGCTCCCCCTATCTGTCAGTGGGTAAGTGTCTGCAAAGTAGCTTGATATTGTAATCCATCAAACTGTGGATGAGGTAGCATGTCAGTGGGTGGAGTCAAGGTCAAGGTTGACCAGTGGGTGGAGTCAAGGTCAAGGTTGACCAGTGGGTGGAGTCAGGTCAAGGTAGACCAGTGGGTGGAGTCAAGGTCAAGGATGACCAGTGGGTGGAGTCAGGTCAAGGTTGACCAGTGGGTGGAGTCATGGTGAAGGATGACCAGTGGGTGGAGTCAAGGGCAAGGATGACCAGTGGGTGGAGTCAGGTCAAGGTAGACCAGTGGGTGGAGTCAAGGTCAAGATTGACAAGTGGGTGGAGTCAAGGTCAAGGTTGACCAGTGGGTGGAGTCAAGGTCAAGGATGACCAGTGCCAGTTAAAAATGTTTAGTTGTACTATTCTCTACATTTTAGAATAATTTTAAAGACGTCAAAACTATAAAATAACATATATGGAACTATGCACTGACCAATTGAATAAACAAACAAAAAAGATAACAATTTGCTGGGGGCAGGCAAATCTCGTGGGTGGTAGAGGGATCCTGCCATTGGCCCTTAACCCCAACTGCCCCAAGGACTGATGGTCGCTGCTTCCTCCTCTACCCCAGTTCCATGTTTCGGGGTATTGTCCCAGCTGTCCTGAAGGAGGGCCCATATATGCGGGGACTTGTTTTTCCTTCACGCTCTCTTCAGACTCCTCCCAAACCACCTCTAATGGGTTTAGGGCAGCAGGCCAGGTCATGTTATGCAGCGTCATCACGCTCCTCCATAGGCCGCTTGGTGTGTCCAAACTTTTGACTGATTCTGTATGAATTTGTAACCTTAGCTAACATTGTTAGCTATAAGTCTCTTTTGTTTTACTTTTGATCTTGGTACTTAACTGGAATCCCTCCATTAAATTTTCAGTCTATTTGAAGATGCAAATGGTGTGAGTTTAAATTATATTGGAATATCCTTTAGATTCTGTATTCCGTGCTGAATGGTATTCTGTGCAGTGATTGTGCCTAACCTGGCTCCTTCACAGCACTATGCTCGTATTATATTTTCATCCTCACCTGTGTGCCTGCTAATGTAACGCTTCAAGTAAATGTGTTGGCTGACTACTGATGTTTTAACATGTTTCCAGGCTGGCCCGTCCACACCAGCTGTTCTTCAGCGGGACGGTGAGGGGCGAGAGCGCCATGAAAACACTGGATGACATTGGGAGTCCCGTGGAGTTTGAGTTCACGGTGAGATGGGAGACAGTGGGATGGCCCTAGGTGTGGGGGGGGCTAACTTTCCCCCCTTATAGTTTGGTAACACAATGGTGGTGATTATGTCTGCTGGTTGTTAAGTGTGGAAGGTCATGGGAAGGTCTCATTGTAACAGTGAAACACACGGACCTAGTGGACAAATAGATAAACACATCCATCCATCTTCCAGATGCAGGGTCATGGATACAAGGGCAGATGCAAAAATATCTTTATTATTATAATAATTATTAGTAGTAGTATTGTTGTTGTTGTTTTGCTGTTGTTGTTGTTATGGTCTCTCTAATCATCTCTATTCTGCTGTTTATATGAATTTTATTAGGTAACAAACCCAGGCCAGTCCCTGCAAACGCTTGGCTCTGCCTTCCTCAACATCATGTGGCCTCATGAGCTGGCCAATGGGAAGTGGCTGCTGTATCCCACTGGGGCTCACTTTGAAGGGCACCCCAACACCCGCTGCAGCCCCACCTCTTTTGACCCCCTGCATCTGAGTCCCAGTACGAAACACAACCAGCACCATCACCAGCACAGCCAGGACCCAGAGTCTGCGGTGAGGTCTCAGATCACCTATAGCTGAGAGTTATGCTACTCACTGAGTAGAATATACTCTTAACCTGGTAAATTATACAATGGTCCCCCTTTATCCATGGTTTCTAGCAATCAACCACAGAAAATATTAAATGGAAAATTCCAGAGACAAACAGTTCATAAGTTTTAAACTGAGCGTCGTTCTGAGCAGCGTGACGAAATCTCACACCATCCCACCCAGGACGTGAATCATCCCTTTGTGCAGCACATCCACGCTATATATGCTACTCACCCATTCGTCACTTAGTAGCCATCTCAGTTATCCGACTGACTGTTACGATAATTCTTGTGTTCAAGTAACTCTTTTTTTTTTTTAAAAAAAAAGAATCAACACTTATGAGGACCTGAGGTATATGTACATGTAGTGTTTGGTACTAATGGCATCTGCAGAGGGTCCTGAACCATATCCCCTGTGGATAAGGGGGAGGGGGATGCTATATTTATTTGCTTAGGTGACGCTATTAATAAAAGCAGCTGTGTAATTTACTGGAGCTATTCAGGTTGAGTACTCTTTCCAGGGTAGGGCAGCAGCCCGGCTTTCATATAGCGGATCCATATCCGCGGCCAGGGAGCTACTCTGCTGCGTGTATGAGGGCTTGCTATTGATTTTTATATCGAACAAACCAACACAGAAATATCAATAAACAGCCGAAGCTCTGGCCACAGTGGATGTCTTCTTTTGGGCCTGGCGTTGTGTTCTGCAGTCTGCATTTCTCACTAAGTGTCCTGAATGTCTGCGTTTCGCTGAATTTAAATATCCTAGCGTTATCGTTAGATCTGATTTTTACATTCATGTTGCATTCAATTAGTTTTGATGTGAAAGTAATTTCATTGCAGGGGTGGATTCTAGGATATCAGCCCCCAGTGGGGTTACTGCCTTGGATGAAGGGTCCCCAACAATAAAATATGTTGAGCTGTGGGGTTGGGCTATGAAATGTGTATGAAAATATTGGACAAATCATTAAATGATTTTATAAAAATAACTTTCTGGGGGGCTAAGACAAGGTGGCTGAATAGGGTCTACAACTGCATATGTCTAATAGTAATTGTAATAGATGGAAACACACAAGAATCGGTACGTAAATGTAGATAAATATGAGTGTATTAGTAGCAGAGCTGAATTATTAAGGTCAGCGTGTTATTATAGAGTATGACTGTAGCATAAATGGTGCTGAAAAGGAGCTGCTATTCCGCATTATCAGAACCAGGTGGGGAGGACGAGGCGCTCCCACCCAGAGGAGGAGAGGCAAACTGTGAGCAGAAGCAGCGTGGGGAGGACCACGCCGGCCGTGGCGGCCTCAGAGAGGAGGAGGTCCCTGCAGCTGGTGAGGGGGGGAGAAGGATGGAGGGAGGGAAAGGGAGGGGGTGGAAGGAGGGAAAAGGAGAGAAAGAATGGGACAGGAATAAGGAAATTGGGAGGAAGAGGTGGGGAGAACAAGAGAGGGAGGGAAAGGGAGAGGAAGGAAGAATGAGAAGGGGATAAGGATGGAGGGAGGAAGAGCTGGAGAGAGGAGGAGAAGGAGGGAAAGAGAGGGGGTGGAAGGAGGGAAAGTGGAGAGTAAGAATGGGATAGGAAGAGGGAAAGAGGGAGGAGGAGTTGGAGAGAGGAGGAGAGGGAGGAAGAATAAGAGGGGAAGAGAGGAAGAGGAAAAGGAGAGAGGAGAAAGGAGGGAAAGGGAGAGTAAGAATGGGACAGGAATAAAGATTGAAGGAGGAACAGAGGAGAAGAAGGAGGGAAAGGAAGAGAGAGAGGAGGGAAAGGAGGGAAAGGACGAGCGAGGATGAATAAGGGAGAAGAATGGAGGGAGGAAGAGCTGGACAATGAGGGAGGTGATAACTGCCATGCACTTTGCTCCCTTTCTCCAGGACTGCCTTCTGGGTTCAGCCCAGTGCCTGCTGATCCAGTGTCCGCTCCACAGCCTCTCCGGGAGTGCAGTGCTGAGGGTGCAGGCCAGGCTCTGGAACAGCACTTTCCTGGAGGTAAAGCTGACCCTGCTTTCACACACAGCACGCTTCATTTTGTTATTCACTGTGCATCTGGCCCCGGCCGTCTCCTGCCGAGCCGTTTAATGCAGTAATAATGTGGAAGGCATAAAGAAAAAAAAACATTTTCATGTGTAGAAAAAGCACAGCTGCAGGTTTCCTGCCATGAATCAATTCTTAGCAGCTTTGTCACATCATGCAGTAGCGGTGAGGGACCTGCTGTGCTCAAAAGGTCGAAATCCTGATATTACTGTGAGCAAAGATCTTATTTTCTATTGTATTTATCCATCTGTATAAATGGGTGAAAAATGAAATCTCAATGACCATTATTATGATCATTATCACAATTATATAATGTTACAATACTTCTCTCAAGAAGACATAAAATTCAGCATGATGACTAATTTTCCCCGTCTTTGTCTTGCCCTCTTTTTTCACATATTTCGCTCTCTGTCTCTCTCCCTCCCTCTCTCTCTCCCTCTTTGTCTCCACCGTACAGGAGTTCCCATCAGTCAGCGCTCTGGAGCTGCTAGTGAGAGCCAACATCACCGTCAAGTCCAGCATCAAGCATCTGGTGCTGAGGGATGCTGCCTCACAGGTGTGCTGACACTCACTCACACACACGCACACACACACACACACACACACACACCCACATGCACATGTAGGGTAATAATGAACCCTTTATAATAATAATACACATACACACACACACACACATGCATACACACATACACATTTGTATTTATATCTTTGTGGGAACTGTCCATTCATTTCTATGAGAAAATCCCTACTATGACAACCTTAACCCATACTGCTGAGCCATAAGTAACCATGAGTAATCAAATAAAATACAAGACTTTTGGTATTTTTAGTTTTTTGATTGCATTCACAGATCTTTGACCTGAAAAATGCCCCCCATAACATCAAAATAACAAGTTTTCATTACATTGTGGGGAACATTTGGTCCCCAAAATGTAATATCAACTTAATCCACACACACACACATGCAAACACATTATTGCAGTCACAGATTTTTACAAAATTGATTTTGCAGTCACATATTTTTATAAAATTGAGTTTGAAAAATGGTCCCCGCAATGTCAGAATAACAGGTTTCTATCACATTGTGGGTACATTTGGTCCTCACAATGTAATATATACATAACACACACACACACACACACAGAGGTGAAGGACGTGTTTTCCTGGAAGCCCAAATAAAGTCAACATCAGTGTCATTTCAGTTTGAACGGTTCCAAAAGCTCCAAAGAGATCATGCCTGGCACCATGTTGGTTGGCCTGGCTCACCCAATCAGGCCAAGCTTGGCTCACCCAATCAGACCAAGCTTGGCAGATGCCAACCAATCACAGACTCCCCTGAGAATCCTGTGTCCCACCCTACGTATTGCAACTGGAGCCATGCCCTGGCGCACATCTGTAGAAGCCCGACCCAAAAATTCAGACCCAAAAATGCAGACTATATGATTGCTGTGTTTTGCATCTCTATGCAAATGCAGGTGCTGGTCTTGGTTTATCCAGAACACGGGCACGCAGATCAGTACTGGATCCCATGGTGGATCATCCTCATCGCCGTGTTGGCTGGAATCTTAGTCTTGGCTCTGCTAGTTTGCATACTGTGGAAGGTAAGGTTCCTCACAACTTCCGCTTTTCCCTTTTTAATCATGTTGACTGTTTGCTGCCACCTTATTCATTCTTGTGCATCAACCCAGTATCAAGCTATGTTATCAAGAAATTAGGTTTCAACAGGGTAGGGCAGAGGTCACTCCACATTCAGTCAGTATTGAAACTACAGTATGGTTCATGGCCTTGAACTGATTACATCACATTTACATTTGTTTATATATGTAATGCAGATAATATATAACAAGGTTATAGCTGTAAAGCAGCCAAGAGGTACCAGTCCTGCTGGTTTCTAATGACTGACCAGAAACTAGTGCAAGATGTTATGTCTCCAGGCACCATGTCAAGAGAAATTCCTTCTAAGTGTGAACTTAGCCCTTACTTCATGTTCATGTCTGTGGGATTCCTTTTCATGGTTTACAAAAACAAAAACTGCATAATTACTTAAATATCTGTTTTTTTCCACCATACCTGCAACAATAAAATGTAACAAAAATGTGAATATAATTTAATGGCAAAATGGCCAGTAAACGTCATTCATTCATTCATTCATTCATTCATTGCTAGTGGTAGGAAAAAGAGCTACTGTATGTCACACTTCACCATCGTCTTCCTCCAGTGTCTGTATTTGTACTTGCTGTTGTCTTCCTTTTATTTGTCTCATGACCTTCATCCTTTCATTTTCCATCATTTATACATTCTTCCTTCTGTCTCCTTTCCCATTCCAATATACACGTCGCCCCCCCTCTTCTTCCCCGTCCACGTTTAACTGCTCCGTCCCCCTCCCCCGGCCCCTCAGTGTGGGTTCTTCCGGCGCACGGAGCGACGCCGGCATTTCGAGGCAGAGTACTACCGGGCCCAGCTGGGGGTCCAGCCCTCAGAGGCGGATAAGCAGGCCTCCGACCTCCAATAGCACCCCCCATTCAGCCCCGCCCTCCCATCTCTCCCCCCCCCCCCCTCCCGAAGCGGTAAACCAGCCTCTGCCCAGCCTTTGCTGGCCCCATCAGGAGCAGGAGTGTCTTGCTGTATCGTGTGTTGATGCTGCGCTCTTGTGAGAGGAAGTTCATCCTGGTTAGAACTTCCAAAGGCTTTGTTAGTCTCAGACATCCTATCATCCCCAGCTGGTGATGATTTCCCCCATACCAAGCGAAGTAAACGTTCCCATTGGATACTAGAATGAACTTTCTGTTTTTTGTGATGTGTTTGTGTTACGCTTTTTGTGCAGCAATGCTTAAAATCCGTCACCATGGCTCCAGAAATGCGCTTCGCAATACTAAGCACCGCTCTGCCCTGCACTGCTTGCGTTTTCTTGCACATTTTATTAAGGAGCCGATGAGTTTTCACTTTGGTTTTTAAATTGCACCGTATGTAACAGCGTATAACTCAACCTCAAACAAACACACACGTTTCTAATTTCTCCAAAATGCTTATGTAGAATTGGATTTCGCTGGGGAAAATAAAGAGTATAAACTCACACCCAACAACAATTTCTCCCCAAAATGAATTATGATGGCAGTGAATGCATGAGCTCAGTGAAGCTGCAGTATTAAAACACATCATACTGCCATCATAATACTTAATATTTCAGCGGGTGTGAGTTTATTTTCTCGTATTCCGCAGCATGTGGTTATACCCTCCAAAGATATAGCCTAGTGTTCCTGATTTGACCCCACACTGTTTAACAGGAACCATTTAGCATGTTGTGGAGGCAGGATGGTGGCTCGGTGGGTGGTGCTGTACCCTCACACCTCCCAGGTTGGGGTTTTGAGTCCTACGTCCAGCTCTCTATACGTGGAGAGTGCATGTTCTCCATGGGTCTCGGCAGATTTACTCTCGAAGTCCGAAACCGTGCAGTGATGTAGTCCCCTGCCTTGTGTTCCGTTCTTCCTGGACTAGGTGCCGTGTGGCAGATAAGATGTCACCGGTGTGTATGTGCTCACCTTCAGGCAGCCTGTCCATAAATATTGACTGAACTATTCTAATAAAACACAGACTTTTGTGGACCAAAAATCAATCCTTCCAAGCTGTTTTAAAGGCAAAGTGCATTTTACTAGGATGCAATGTTATTTCTGGGGTCCATACCCATCCACATTATGGGCGTCGCTTTTATCTAAACTGGCAGTGGGGACTCTGGTTCGAGAAATCAGCATGGTATGCCGGTTTCCAGTCTGCTGTAGCTGTATTTCATTTGGGTAGGATCTAAGGTCACCTAGTGCTGCAGGTTTCTGTCAGCTGGCCTAAAGAGATAAAGGAATACCTACAGATACCTATCTTTCCTGGAAGAGGTTCTCCATATCTGATCTGTAGAATATAAGACTATTGTTCTGATACGTTAGCAGGGAACCCTCCTGAGGAAATGTAAGCCAAGTTCATCCTGGGGCTTGAACCAGCAACCCTTACTTAATCGGAGGATTTAATCAGTTACCTACCTGCCATCCACATAACATTTGCTGCTTACTCATGTAGTATGACTTAACGACAGTGATCTTGTGTCTAGCTGGTGGAGTACGGAGTATATGAGTGTCATCGTCTGATTTCCGTCTCCTCCCTCCTCATCCCACATTTCCCTCTCCTTCCTCTGGATAGCTCGGATTCTTCCGGCGGGCCCAGTACAAAGACTCCGTGCCCCAGTACCATGCTGTGAAGATTCCGCGCGAGGATCGCTCGCAGTTCCAGAATGAGAAGATGGGGACGTTGCAGAAGAAGGAATGGGCCACGCACTGGAGCGACGGGGCGTCCTGAACGCGTTGGAACGTCGCTCCAGAGCCGCACCCACAGGACACTCGAATGGGTCTGCAAATGACCCCATTGCTGCAGCTGAAAACACCTGACACTTGCAGGACTTATCACACACATGCACGCCAACTGTAGCAATGCAGCTTAACGTACCCTCGGAACCTTCTGGACGACGTTCCAAGAGTTCTAGAACATTCTTCGATGACCACACTGTATTCATCATGGCAGATTGACTGACATAACCACACTCAAAACTGTAAGGGCAGGACACTTCTAATGAGCATACATAGAGAGCTACGGCCTGCAGAAGAAGCATCGCAGTAGCCTTCCGAACCTATCAAAGGAGCTAGCAGACTGGCCGCCTTTCCCACCCACCCAACTTGCACTGATGCTAACATGCACATTCAATCACTTAAAAAAAAGAAAACGAAGAAAAGTTGACTTCTGCTAGCCCTGCATTCCCAGAGGAACCCAAGGACACTTACATCTGCCTGAACGTTGAGCAGAGCAGCCGACTTCAATGAAAACCCGCAGACCAACAGAGTCCCACTCCGTTTGTCCAAGTCGCCATGATGAAGCTAGGCTGGGGCTGGTTCTTGCCTTAATTCAGACAAATCGGACAAAACACTGTAATTTTCTATTTGGCTTGGTTTTTATTTATTGTTATTTTTTGCATTGTTTTGTACTCCAATAGCTTACAGCCCAATACAGCAATTTGACTGGATTGCGATGAAGTCATACACGTCTCTTTGGTCTAAAACTCAGCTGGACCATGTTGCTGGGTCTGTGTTTTGAGGGATGGACAGATAAACCTGGACCACGCTGAGGGAGAGTCAGGTACAACATCTGAGTGTCGCAAGATCAGGTTCCTTGCTGCAGCGGAAGACCTCAGGACCTCAGAGGCAGAAGACAAATGTCACATCTAACCTGAACTGTGATTTGCATGAACATGCAGGAGAGACAAAGAGAGGATTTGTACATTTTAGCAGGACGGGAAGGAACTGAGAGAACATTCTAGCGTTCATTTACAATGCAGTTGGCTGGTGGGCGTTTCGTTTGTAAGGTGTTTGGGTTCAAGATTTCAAAACTAACACTGCTTTTAAGAAGATGCTTTTCGGAGTGATAGGGGATGAAAACATGTAACGTACTTTTGAAAATATAATTAGAATAAATATAACAATGGTAGTATTTTGCTGTTTTATTGCTATGTTGTTTTGTAAGTGCCTTTTGGTAGTGCAACCTAAATATGAAATATAAGGAAGTATATTTTTTAAAAAACAAACAAAAAACAGGCATCTGTTTTGACTGCTTTACTTATTACTTAGATTGAGGAGAGAAATGTAATTGGATGTGAACAACATTGGATTTAAGTGGCTATAATCCCTGGGAGTAAGTGAGTTAAGTGGTTACCTGTTGTCATGGAGACAAACTGCCATTCAGACTGAAGTCCATGCATGAATATTGCTGGACAATCTTGTTTTAATGCATGGACAAACCTTACTGTACATGCTGATTGTTTGTCATGCTCACATGTTTATTTATTTCTGGCTGTATTTGTGCACTACTGTAAATAAAACATGAAACGAAAGCCACGGAGCCCTACGGAAAAAGGGAGGGAAGACAGACAAACGTGCCGTCTGTGCTCGAGGGATCTGGGCGGCTTCTGGCTGAAGGACAAAGTGAAAAAAAGTCACTAAGACAGAGGCCGTTTTTGTTTTTGCCCAGAAGATCATTATCATTACTGTTAGGCACCAGAATTAGGCCACATGTGTTATCTTACTCTCTTTCTCGTTTTCTAATTTGCGACGCATTTAACGATCCTTCGTATTGATCCGATATCACGTTACACAACTTTCACGCTGATATTTGTCCCGCTTTATCAATCTGAAACTCTTTTTCAGCGATCGATTTCATCTCTACGGAAAACCCTGTGGCTTCAGCAACCTTACCGCTCTGAAGCCCAAGAGGCAAATATTAATTTAGGCAAACTTAATTGAGTGTGCAATCTGTTTACATTAAGTCCATTTCCGTTGGCATCTTGATTTTCTTCGGGAGAAGGTTCCTGAGGCAGCCACCTGCCCACGTCACACATGTTTACTCAGGATGGTTTCCTCTAACCCTGCATCTCAAGGGCCACCTTCCCACAGATTTTCATGGAAAAGCTTTAATTAGCATCTTATTAACATCTTAAATGCCAGCTGAGGTGACTCTCTGAATAATAACTTTATTGAAGTGGACGCGGGCTAAGGCGCAACTAAATTAGCCTGTAAATCATTTAAAATAACATTTGAAGGAAAAAAACAACAACAGGCAAGCATTAATTTGTCAGATTTTCAGAAAATAGTCTCGCTCTAGGATGAAATACAATGCAATTGCTGCCTGAATCTAATCTATCAGATGAAATCAAAGGAAATAAGTATATATCTAGTATACATATCTAGTTTTTTGCTGTTTGTGTATATTGGTTCATTTGTCGATGTTATATATAAAGTTCATTTAGGTTTTTGTAAATAAAGTGTTTTAAGAATAAGACCTTTGGCTGCACTGGCTTCCTCAGTTATGGTCAGTTAATGTCAGGACCTCACAGAGGGAGTCTCTTCCTGCTGCCCTATGAGTGCCCGTCTGAAATGTGCGTCTGCCTTTCTTACAAACTGCATCTCTGTACAGTTACACACAGCTCCTATGGGTAGATATCAGAGGCTGAAACACCCTTAAATACCTGCCAGGCCAGCTGGGAAAACAATGAAGACCACCAAACGCACGGCCATTGAAAAGGAACCAGTTAGAGGCCCAATACACAAAAGAGCAGAAAAACAACAGAAATGCCAGCTAATGAATCCACATCCCACCCATGGTCTCTTGAGGCATTTTAAACTTTTACTCAACGTCTCTCCTGCTTCCGTTGCCATGGCAAGTAATGGTCCAAAAGTCAAAGGCTATTACTGATGCTAAAACACCAGTAAGTAATTTGCCAGACATCTGGTAGAATATCTCTGCTCTCGGGACCTCGGGGTGTGTGGTGAAGCTCAGGATGACCGTGATGAAGCTTCTGGACTCCCTCAGGCAAAAACCACCACACTAAAGGCCTGAACAAAGACCAGTTACAGGTGAATCTGAACCACACAAGTTGATATTTAATTAACAACACAAGCAAATGAGATCAAACATTGTGATTGTCTCTTAGAGGACTGCAATTAACATGCTAAAAAGCAAAAAAAAATAAAAAATTATGTTGCAGACAATACATTAGAAAATAATTGGACACAAAAGTAAAAATTTCAACGTCTTAACATCCATATAACATATAATGCCTGAAATTCACATTATGTACCTGGCTACATGGTACAACAGCAGGGACTCTAAAAGATTCAATTCAAGGGACTCTTAAATTTTCAATTCAATTTTATTTGTATAATGCATTTTAACAACATTGCATTGACTCAAAGCGCCCAAAGCCCCCAGTGAGCAAGCCAGAGATAACAGTGGCAAGGAAAAACTCCCAGAAGGAAGAGACCTTGGGAGGAACCAGACTCAAAGGGGGGGGGCATCCTCCAGGGGGCAGCAGAGGAAGCCCTAACCCTAACCAGACTCAAAGGGGGAGCCCATCCTCCAGGGGGCAGCAGAGGAAGCCCTAACCCTAACCAGACTCAAAGGGGGAGCCCATCCTCCAGGGGACAGCAGAGGAAGCCCTAAACCTAACCAGACTCAAAGGGGGGGGGCATCCTCCAGGGGGCAGCAGAGGAAGCCCTAAACCTAACCAGACTCAAAGGGGGAGCCCATCCTCCAGGGGGCAGCAGAGGAAGCCACAGGTAATAGAAGCTTTGCAGGCAGCAAGGTAAACAGAATGTCTTGATATTTTGAGATCTCTAGGGCAGTACACTTCAGGTGGGGCAGGGGAAATAAAATGTGCAGTTAGCCAAAGTATGGGAGACTAGAGGCAGTGCGCACACTTAGGTGAGTGTGATATGTAAGCTCCGGCAGATATGGCTACGGCAGCATAAGTAGGAGGGAGAAGCAAGTGGGAACGCAGGCATGGGGAGTCCCTGAACGTCAGCACTGCAATTCCGCAAGGGGGTGTGAAGCTAGAGTGACAGACTGACAGGTCAGCTCATGCAAAGCCAATGGCACCGATCCCCACCCAGCTCTACACCTCACACTATAGGTCTAACTGGGAGTGAGCAGTTAGCTAGAGCTAGAACTGGAGTCTGAGATCTAGCCTGAACAAGTGTGATTTTAGTCTATACTTGAATATTGAGAGTGAGCCTGAATCTCACACATCAGCTGGAAAAATCTGTTCTACAGCTACGGAGCTCTTTAAGAGAAAGCTCTGCAGACCTGCAGTAGTTCTTTCTATTCTAGGTACTAAAAAGGTATCCTGCTATCTGAGACCGAAGCAGGCGAGGAGGACTGTAAGAGGCCAGTACTGTAGATCTCTAAGGTATCCTGGTGCAAGGCCATTCAGTGCCATTCAGCATCCTTCCACTTGCCGAGACATTAACCACTGATTTAACTACCGATCTGATACTAATCTCTACCCAGTATTTGGTGATGAAATAGCGAAACATAACTGCTGGTTACACACAGTAATCTGGCGCTAAACATGCTGAACACACTGAAGTATAGGACATTACTTAAAAAAAAATTGCCAAAGTCACCTGGAGATCCATCCAACACAAGAGAAGTTTCACTCTAGATATTTATCATGTGTGATTCCCTGATGATGGAATGAGCTATCAAGCCATTTCTGGTCATCAGACACTGTCTTCTCCTTCAGTAGCTCTTGCTCTGGTGCTACTTACACTTGTTGTTCAGTGGAAGCTCAGCCTAGTCTAATGTAACGTAATCTACCTTGCTTGTATGTCATTTTGGACAAACACGCCTGCTAAATAAATAAATGTAATGTTAATGTAAACTCTCAGTCTCACATCATCCATGTTTCTACTGGTGAATATTTGCGGAACAGGTCAGGTTCAGGAGTACTCTCAGTAGCTTCAAGGTACAACATGGGTTTCTACTGGGATTTGATCCTCTGACCTTTCCAACATGGGTCCAGCGGTTTGACAACTGGGACGAGAACACATGTCCCAGAAACATATGTATATGTACTGTATATCTGTGAAGGAAAACTGGATGGGTGAGGGGTTAATGTTTTTATAAGCTTCTGTAATCGGAGGAACTGCAGCCCATTATTGAGGATTTACTGATTTCGTAATACTTGAAGTGACTGGCTATCCTTAGAGAGATGTAATGCTCAGGCCCCAGTGGCTTATTTCTCATTTTATTTTTTTTAAATCTTCATTTACTCCATTTTCTGCTTCCTCAGCCCTAATAGCACTAATAGACACACACAGACACACAGACACTGTCCAGTCATCCTTATGCTTTGTCTCCAAAGGCTGTAAGGATGTGAGTGTGGGGAGGGCGTATATAAGGAAGGCCACGGGGAACGGACCGTTGTGGAGTCGGAACCGGGCCCGGAAGGCTGAAGAGCCCAGAAACACAAGGCGAGCCAGCAGAAGCAGCCGCGATCAAACTCGCAGCCTGCTGTCATGGAGACGGCCGTGTGGTTCATCCTCCTGGGGCTCCTGGCCGTGGGCGGAGTGGGACACGAGCTCCAGGACAACGGGCACCTGGAGTCCAGCGACAGCCGGCACGGCGACCCGAGAGACGGCCTCACGGAGACGCCAGCGGGGGTCCTGGTGAGTGCGGCCCCGGTGCTGGGTTTACACCAGAGCCTCTCCGAAAATATTATCCAAACAGACTCTACATTTCAAGCTACAATTTTCACAGTAAGTTAGTTTACACTACGGTGAAGTAAATTGGATTACCACTTGAATTAGGTTATAAATCCATCTGCTTTTAAAGTTCAAATTCTTATAATTGCTTTGATTCCAATTATTTAAACAAATGTTAGAACATAAGAAATTTACAAACGAGAGGGGGCCATTCGGCCCATCAAGCTCGTTTGGGGAGAACTTAACTAATAGCTCAGAGTTGTTAAAATCTTATCTAGCTCTGATTTAAAGGAACCCAGGGTTTTAGCTTCCGCTACACTAGCAGGAAGACTATTCCATACTCTAACTACACGCTGTGTAAAGAAGTGCTTCCTCAAATTCATTTTAAAATGTTCTCCCAAATTGCAGCTAAATAAAATAAAGCAGTGATCATTTAATTAATAAGCAAAGTGGGTTCCCCGTCCTTTTAGTAGACTTTGACAGCACTATGGAGGTCACATTGTAGATTAAGTGACACATTAAAACGACCAGTCACAGATATATTTTGCAGACACTTTCATCTTACCTATTTGGGTGCTACAGTTCATTAGCAATTAGGGTAATTAGCCTAGTGTAATTAGTTTGTGCATGTGTGTGTCTGTGTGTGTGTGTGAGCGGGTTTACCTTACCTTATGGGGATACAATGTCCCCATCAACGTGATGAAAACTCAATTTAATAAAAATCTGTGACTGAAATGAAAAAACTAAAAATGCAAAAACTCATGTAATTTGCTTGGTTACTTATGGTTATGGTTAGGGCAGGGTAGGGGTTAAGGTTGTCATAGTTAGCGTTAGCAATTTTAACATACTGTAGAAATGAATAAGCGGTCCTCATAGCGATATGTTTAACTGGCATGTGTGTCTATGTGTGTGTGTATGTGTGCCCTGAGATGGATTAGCATCCTTCCCAGGATGTCCCCCTGGCTTGTGCCCTGTGCTGACTGGGCTACGTTTTATATCCCCCTCAGCCCTGCACTTATTTCAAGGTCATGGAAGATGGATTGGTTATGTAGGTCTTTCTGTTAATTTGTCCTGATTTTTTTTTTACCACGCTGACTTCTTAAACTGTGTCATGTTTATATTTTTTATGTTTGTGCTCGTGAAAAGGGTGCCGTATAAAAATAAACCAAGCTGGAAATACCTCATGGAGGATAGTGGGACCATCTGCAGACCCAGTTTGGCTCTGCCCCCGCTATAATGTGGACCGCCAGGGAACACTGGCAGAGCAGAGTTCATGAGAGCCCTTTGGTCTGACTGGGTGGTTTGGTCTGGGGTTGGCGCTGCTAAATATCAGCCCACCCCACCCCACCCCACCCCACCCCCCCAATGAAAACTTATGCCAGCTTATGACAGGCTGAGCACTAAATCTGGCTTCTCATGGGTAGAGGTCAAGGTCTTGTGAAAAATTAGTTGGGTCATTTTGGGTCTGTTTTGTTTTTAGACTTCAAATAGGTTTCATCTGAAAGAAAACTGGTCCGTTTGTTTGTGACTCCTTTCATTTTATGTGTTTGCTCAAATTGAACAAAATTGCGTGACGGTAATATCCTACCAGTAGAGGGACAGTATCTGCTAGGAAGAAGGTTCTAGAATCTGGAGAGGTGAGAGCGCCTGGTTTGAATTTCAGGACAGTCACAATAATGGGAGACACGGACTGGACGAGCGAGTCCTGACAGCTGTGCTGCGCTCGCTTTTCCAAGGGTTCGAAAGGAGTGACCGCAACCCATCGATCCTGTACCAGCCACAGAGGTGAGTCGCATGTCAGTGAGCAAGGATCACTAGCATCCAGATACCAATGAACAAATCAAACAGAACCATGAAAAGAAGCTGGACTTCCTTCTGTTCACAATTCCGTGTTGTGGAACTCCTCCATCTTCTCATTGATATTTTTCACTTGGTCTTATTATTGTTTCTCTTAGAAATGAATTTTGAAAAGAATGCTACATGCAATATCTATCTATGTCAGTTATAAAACTCAAAGTCAAGACAGTAGATTATATGAATTACATCCGGGTACTTTGAGTAATGTATGCTGAAAGCCCAGCAACATGTATGGCTAAATATTTCTATCCAGATTAAGAAAAGGTATTTTTAGCGTAATATAGTCGCTTCATTTTTTTAAACCACTTCCGTCTCCCTCAGGTTTGGGCGTGGTGCAAGGGGAGGTCTTGGTTCCGACAGGCGAATGCACTCTCAGGACTGGGAGATGGCACCGGGGGAGATCTGGAGCATGGCGGTGCCACAGAGGTTTGGCAAGAAGTAGGGAGGAGGCGAAAGAGAGCTGAGGGTCAGCTGCAGGGGAGCGGGAAGAATTCAAACACCGTGAATAAGACATCCACACATTCATTAGAAAATATCAGACCTCTGTCTCCAAACATTTCAGTGTCACACCTGAAGCCCCGCCCACCTTCATCCTGGCCAATGACAGCGCTCTACTGCATCCACACCCACTGACTCATAAGCTGGTCAGTGAGACCAGGAAAAAAAAATCAAGAATGGAATAATACTGCATTTGCTGTAAATAGGCTATTAACTGCATTCAATAACTGACAAACTCCTTCCTGTGTTTGTTCAATGGAAGCTTGTAATGTGTATTCCTGTCCTGTGTACCTCACTGGTATAACAGCAAGAAAGATACTTCTGTAAGACAGCTGGCTCTGAGTCTTCCTTTGTCTTTGCTGACACATCTGAAATCAAAAAGAGGTGTGTGTGTGTGTCATAATGCAACTTTTTTATTCTCTCATTGCTAATTCTTCATATGTTTGCACACCTGTTTGTTTTATTCATATCTGATCATTTGACTCTTTCACATTCACACCTGTCGACTTCATCTTTGATCAGTACTTTGTATATCACGCTGGTACATTTTACTTTACTTATTGCACTTTTAAATTCACATTTATTCTGCCCCTTTTTCCGATGCCTGTCTCTGTTTTTGCTGTCAGAGTCTGAGCCTCTGTAACATCGCTATCATCTCCCATCTCTCAGATTAATAGTTGACTCATAATGATAGTTTTGTTGTACAAGGGGGCTGAATATTACAGGGCTCAGAGAGAGGCTACGGCTGGGTGACCCTATACTTTTCCCCTGTTTCCAGTATAGCGTCATTCCTCTGTGCCTCCAAATTACCTCTCTGCATCCAGCAGTCCATCCATCTGTGCTCAGAGTCCATTTTAATTTTCCATCTGAAGTTTGATTCCTCTGTTTGATCTAAGATACAAACAACTGGAAACTCGCTTGCAGTGTCTGTTTGACTCATTGATACATTTACATCACACTTATCTAACAGACACTTCTATCCAAAGCAACACACAACTGGTCCTGGGGCCATTCAGGGGGTTAAGGGCCTCGCTCAAGGGCCCAATTGGGAAATCGCTCTGCCAAGCTCTGGATTTCAACTGGCGACCTTCCGATCACAAGTACAGTCCCCACTTTCTCTTAACGCCTGACCCCTTGTGGCCAGCGAAGCCACCTCTTTGGGATTCTGGGAATCCAAACAAGCCAATGTAAGGTAACACGCATGTGCATAACATCAGGTGAGAGTCTGGAGGCTGTTTGTGGAGAACCAAACGAGATGTTCTCCCTTGCATGACCTGCCGCTGGTTGCTATGCCAACGCTGTAATTATTTTGAGGCCAGCCTCAGTCACACAATGCAACACACATGCACTCATAGTAAAGAATGTCTAATGGATTTGGAGAGAGCAGCGTGCCAAAAGAAGTGCGGAGAAAGTCCTTGAAGGAGAACTTCAGCTCCACGTGAACTTGTCCTGCCCGCTGCAGCCATGAGCGTCAACGTTTAAGGGGGGATTAGGGAACACTCAAGTGGGGACTCAGCCGTTCGTGGAGGACAGATAGGCATCAAACAATGGCCAGACGCACCATCATGCTAATTATCCACACTCAGTCCATCCGAGCCCAATATCTGGGTTTCACTTAGTCGTCCTGCTGCAGTAAAGAGTCCTAAAAAGGAGAACAGAGTAATACCACATTCATACCGCAAGCCCAATTACTCACGCACTTGTTTTCTTTACATTAGTCTCTCCCTGGAAACAAACAGATCATTACAGCCCGCGTGAGAGGACTTTGAATCCTGGGGCCCCCGCCGAGGAGACTGTTGACGACCTCATCACTGGGAGGGCTGGGGGGCTGCTCCTGTCCTGTGATCCGGATGCTAATGGCGTACCACTAATTAATAGACAGCAGCATGCAATTACGACTCTTCAAGCGTTCTGTGTTCCGGCAGCCAATTACAGGGTGACAGTTAGGTCGTCGCATGGAGAAGGAAAAACCTGACTTGGACTTTATGCGTTGGGTAGACTGATGGACGTTGTCATGCATGGTGTCCGTCAGGAAGAGTTTGATAAGAACAGTGGTGTAGAAGAAGAGCGGAGGGGCTGCAGTGCTGCTAGAAACGTTTAGTTGGAGTTACTGCTGTACAACAGGGGACCACAGGAGTTACTCACAGGAAAGTTTCACATAACCTTTCACACGCAAATAACATATTTGTGTTCCATAACTGGGTTCTCCTTATCTAGTTTTGAGACTTCTGTGAAAATCTGATCATATTTTAGATCAGTGGTATTCAAGCTTTTTTTGACAGGGTCCCCTAGGCCTGATATATTAGTCCTAACCCCCCCCCCCCCCCCCCACACACACACACACACACTCACCACACACATACACCCACACTGACCCTATTTCTGTACATATTAAACAATTTAATTATTTTAATTTGTTACTGTCATATAATGTGTTCAAACTATATTTTACATTTGTAAAGGTTGAAGTTTCGTCTTCCGCCACGTCAAGTGACCCACACATACTTTCGTTATTTTTCCCCTCACATGCACCCCCCCTGCAATTCCTTCACACCCCTCCAAGAGGGCGCACCCCACAGTTCGAATACCTCTGTGCTAGATCATATTTATGCAGAAATAGAGAAAATGATAAAGGGTTCACTAACTTTCTGACACTGCTGTACATGTTCACCTCTGTCTGTCTCTTTACGGGGGATGCTCATGTTTTTAAAAGACTGGTCATTGTACAAGCAGCCCCCTGAAGGTTTGGCAAACTGAAACTGAGCAAAGTGGTACATTTAGGACTGAAAACTAAAGGCCAACATATCGAACACATTAATTCATAATTATGTGTGCTCTGCCAAGGAGTGGCATCCTGTTCAAGGTCATCTTACTTAGTCTAGAAGCTGTGGCCTTGTACAGGATAAGCAGTTAATGAAGCTGTATGCATGGATGCCATATTATGTGTCATGCAAATACTCCTCTACATTTGCTATATACTATAACAACCAGTTACAATGCGCTAATTAAACGTTCCTTGGTTAACCTGGAGCAACATCCTGACCTGGATGTACCACCTCATATCCTATGCCTTGTGGGTTTTAATGGGGTATATTATTTAGGTCCCGGCACAGTCCGGTACATCACCTCAAACGGATCATGGGTTTTCTCATAAAATATCTTCAGCACCACCGCAAGGAATTATAGCAGGAGGTTGTTTGGTTATACTGTATATTCTCACTACTGAAAATCCACGATTCTGTAAAAGTGTACATATATATATACCAACTTTTCATCTAGCTTACAAGTGTCCGCGATACTTGGAAATCAATGGAAAGCCTTGATCACATTCTCCTCTCTGATAAGACGTACAGCCTGCAGCTGGTACACCAAATTCGGAATCCGTCCCACCTCCACCTCTCTTTTTGTTTTCAAACCGGTGACTGGCGTCAAATAAGCAAATATATAAAAGCAAACAAAAGACGCGGTCCTGGGGGCTGATTAAGACCCCCGGGGTCCTGCTTCAAAGGGCAGATATAGCGCGCGGTGCTGCAGGCAGGAAGATGGGCGCCTGATTTTCTTCTGCTATTACGCACCATTGTTGTTTCAGCCTGTCTTGTGTGAGACGTCAGCAGCTACTTGAACACACAGTCACATGAATTTAAAAGGTTAGAAACGGTGAGGTCGAATAATGGTGCCGTTTTTGAAGGACGAAATATTCTGCATAAAATTAGAAGAAATTAGCATTCTAATCAATAAACCACAAATAGGTGACGACTATATAAAATCTGTCAAGTATGATGGCCGAAGTGATGGTTCAGTTTGATTTTACATGTAAAACTAGGCTTCGATTACAAGTATTGCTGTCCACGTTCTTAATGACAAAAGAAAATACTTATTGGGAACCAGTTTTCAAGACACTATACTGTATGTGACTGTTTAAGGTTTATCCTGACGTCTATTTCATACTTCGCTCCTAATGAATCTGTCCACTTAAGCTGTCGTCGAATAGCCACTTTCATTTAGCTTAATTTTGCTTGGTAAAAACGAGACGGTTGGTTTCCAAAAATTTTCAAGTATAGCTGGCCCCCATTTAACGTCTATTTATATTTATATATATAAAAAAAATCTTTCAATGCGAAACATTAAAATTGGCAAGCTACTACACACAATATGTGTTTGCTTTGCACAGTAAGGGTTTCATGTTTACTATATGTACGATGTTTTATAAAACGTAGAAGATAATTATGGCGTTTAATTAGTTTCAAAACTCGCGCACATAAAAACCAGGAGGACATTAAACGCCATAGATAATTATTGTGCTTCACTATACTAAATGTTTTCATATTGTGCTTTAATTAATCCATAAAAGTTTAAGATACAGCACTAACTGCAAAGTATATCTAAACTACTTAGTACATTAATTAAATCCATTTCGCAGTACGACAGTGGAGAATAGCCTAAACTTTCTAAGTGTCCATGGTAATATTCGAGCAATTTCCAAATCGCTTAACATCCTGTTTTACGGAACTTAATGCTGATGTTAAACGGGGGTCTTTAAATCAAACATAAAATAATTAATTGTATGAGTCTGTTTATTGTACACCTTTTATAGACCGAAAAACCTGGCATTATTGGTAGACTGTCTTCATTGAGGTGTGCTGTCTTGTACTTTGTCAGTTGTGGAAGGCAATAAATGGATTTCGATCACATGATTTCCCCAAGTCCAGTAGATGACTTTTTGTCCAACTGAACAGTCAAATGTCGCTGCTGTACCAGCTCTCCCCAGGTCAAAATGTAAAAAACCAAAGTAACTGACAAACCATATTCTATTTCTAACTCTATTTTTAAGGGCACAATATGGTAGTGCTTCTGTAGGAAATTGAGTTATGATTGGAAGACATCCACATAATCTTCTTTGGTACAGTTTGGGTTCTGGTAGATGCTCATGTCCTTCAAGAAGACACCAGTCAAGAAGTAAAATAGCTGCTCCTAAGGATGGGACACAAAAAGTATTCCAACCTTATATGATATGAGGGCTGAAATAAAATAACTTAGCTGTAAGTTTTGGGATGAGACATTACTAGGAGCATCTTCCAGTGCTCTGCACCTTCTCTGTCCCCAGCCGGTTGGTGGGATGAAAGCCTTCAGCACTCTGGCCAAATGGACCAGAAATCCACCAGGCTTCTCTTGGAGGAGATACAGTATTATGAAAGTTCAACAAATCAGTTGAATCTAGTTAAAATTTCATTGTCATTTTGCATCTTGTAGATCCTGCTTTGCGGTGGCATCTGCTTTTGATCAGA